AACTAGTTTGAGACACATAATTATGAGAAAACACACTGGATTCACAGTAAATTTGTACTTTTGACATAATTGTAAACTGCAACATTCATATGAATGACATGCAAATTTATTTGTCTCAGTTTTGCCACAATATGTCTTAAGTATGTCTCAATCACGTCTCAGTTGTATAGCAATTTATTCTCGTTTTGTCTCAGACCAGTCACAAGTTGGTTTCGTAGGCTGCCAACCCTGCATGTTGTCTCACATTTCTCACACTTTATGACTCTAGGAAGCTAAATATTCAAGACTGGTTCCACTGCGGGGGGAGGCGAGGCGTCATGGAGGGCAACGGCCACCTCTAAAAAACTGGTCTACCCTCACCCAGACAAAAAGTTTCATCCCCTTGAGTCCTGAGCTTTTGCTTGGTACGCATTTTTCATTTCCACTAGATTTTGTATTTAGGATTAGTAGAACCTCATAGATATAAAAAATATTTTTTGAGCAATAAGGAGTTAAAAATATGAATTTATATATTTTATTTAAAATTAAATAGTTCAAACATAAACTCTATGGATATGGACAACTGGTTTACAACCAGTGTCTTCAACATTAGGATGCAGGATCTGTAGATCCAGTTTAATGGTTTGATTTGGTCCTAATAGCCAAAACGGCTGGTTTTGTGCTGCACCGCTTCTCCTCAGGCTGCTGCTGGTTCTCCATTATTGATGACGAGAGAGAGAGAGAAAAAAAGGAGCACTTACTGCCTTAGCAGCCTCCACCTTCCTCCACCCAACACATGAACAGAATGTGTGTGGTTTGTATGAGAGTGTAAACGATTAGGAGGCTAGAGGCGTAAGAGTGCCCGTTTTGGAAATAAATATTACCAGGCGTGCTCCTGCTCTATCAATGAAGACATTAATCAGTCAAACACGCACGTTTATTGGTCTCTGGGCCCCGAGGACAAAACAAGGTCTGGTTATACCTAATAAGATTTCTGGTATTGAAGGTGTTCTTCGTTTCCTTCCGTTTTGTGATGGATGGAAAACTCACAGCGTCACATTAAATCTTCTTCCCTCTCATTGATGCTTCCTCTCAGAGCAGGATAAATAGGCAGCGTTTTCTGAAAGAGACTTGAATTGATTTAGGGTGCTGATGCGGCTCTTTTCTGTGATGCGAGTCCAGATCGATGCGGGACGCAGAGGGACTTTGGACCAAAGCTTCACATTGCAGTCGTGGAGGTGAGGCGAGGGGGCGTCTCTCTGCGTGTGGATAGAAGGGAATACAGGAACTCGTTTTATAACAGCGTAAGATGATGTTAGGTTAAAACTCTCTGACGGGAAATGAACACTAAGCCTTGAAGTATTAGATGAACCCCCAAAGAAATAATATTACTAAGAAAGATAAATAAATGTGTAAACATCATAAGTAAAATGAAACATTCACTCCAAGGACATGGACTGGAAGATCTTTTATTTTTTTATCTTCTCTCCTCATGTTTTCTTCCCCTCTTCTTATCTAAGCCATTAGGGCAGCGCTTCATAGAAGCTGCAGCCCCGGTACACTTCCGTCTACCCTTCGGACGGCCGTACGGAACAAAATTTTGCTGTAATTAACTGTGCAATGACAATAAAGTTGATTCTGATTCTAATCTTTAATGGATAAATGCTGTTTTATAGCAGACTGAGCTCCAGGGAGAGTGTGAGCTGCTTTCAGAGCTCAGGACTGATTTGAAAGTTGATCCCTGCAGCACCAGGTTGGAGGAACCCCACCACCCCCCTTACACAGGGAGCACCGGCCGCTAGGGTCAGCCTGCAGGCAGAGAGGCTCATGGGAGTTTCTTGATCAAGGAAAAGGCGATAAAGAGAGCTCTCTCTTTCCTCTGCAGTGTAATCCTATCTGATACGGAGGCAGCTTCAGCAGCTGTGTCACTTTGACTGAGTGCAGCATGCAGACAACAGCACAGTACTGTTATTACTGTTATTACTGTTATTACTGTTATTACTGTTATTACTGTTATTAGAAACTCTGGTTTTTGTTTCGCTTTTGTAGAATGTAAAGACTGAAACCTGTGGTAAAAAAAACCCAAAAGGCGGTTCACACGTTTAAAAGTGTGGTTCTAGGTAATGAACAAACAATATCTTACTTGTCATAGATAGCTCATTGACGGGCTTCCGTTTGGAAGAATAGAGGTTCGTTCTGACCGCAAAGCAAGTTCAACACAGCTCGATAAAACCTAAAACTCTATTGAAATAACAGGGTACTAAGACAATCGCAATAACTCAGTTAGTCGTACAAACATGGAACTGGAATTGAATGTGATCATAGCTGACGGTCGTTCACAACACATGATTTGATTGTGTGGTTTGACCCAAACCTCTGTGTTTCTGACACTTTTCAAAATATTATGGTTGTAGCCAGGGTTTAATTTATAAACCGACCAATGCCGGAACGCAAATAGCGGGTGGGCTGGGTGGAGGTGGGGGGATGGTGGCAGGGGGTCCTCCCCTAGAAAACTTTGAATAAAGTAGATGTGATTTCCTGCATTTTGATGTATTTAAACAGGTTGTTAAACATCTACGTTTACCTACATTTGTAAACACTTCGCTTCTGTCAAGCACCCACTCCCTTGATGGTTCCGGGGTCGACACTGTCCCTGCTCGTTGTTGTCTAACTTCACATGTGAAACCTCCAAGCACCTGTGGTACTTTAATAAGATTAAGACTTTAATAAGAATTTAACAAGATTAACACTTGTTTTGTTTTGTTTTTTGCTCAAAATGAAAGGTGTGTCTCAGTTTAACTTTTGCTTAATAAATGCACTTGGACGGTCAAATCAGCTGCATTTTTAAAAGCCGATACGCGGAAACATGAGCGCATAGAGGGAGGACTATCTGTCCATTCATTCTAAATTTAACAAGATAACCACCTAAAACAATTATTTGTTAGCTCAACTTTATAGGAAAGGTGTGTCTCAGTTGAACTTTTACTTAATAAATTCACTTTGACTGTCAAATCAGCTGCATTTCACCGGGGCGGCGCAGCAAAATGAAGCGAAGGTAGCTGGTTATGGCAAGCTGATTTTGTCATTAATAGTCACTTTTACCTATTCAATTCAGTTTATTTATACAGCACCAAGTCACAACAGAAGTCGTCTCAGGGCACTGAACAGAATCATACATATATAAAATAAGTTAACAGAAACATTCATATTTAAAAATAATAATTTAACATTATTTATCTGAGGAGCACCTTACTGGTCTGCTGCCAACTAGTGGCTGAAAATTGTACTGTTCCATTTTTTTTCCAGTCAAAATGGATGAAAACGGTCAAATCTCAGCCAAAAATTGGTTTATAAATTTGGGGAAAAAAATCCATAAATATGTCGTTTTGACTTATAAGTCGCAGGGCAAGCAAATTATAAAAAGAAAACAAAAAAGGTTGAATCATGTCATCTGGACTTCGTTTTTTTTGTTAAAAAGAAACGTTTCGCCCCTCATCCAAGAGGCTTCGTCAGTCTGAGGCCTAGCCATCTGGTATTACCCAGAAGCCACCCTGACTCTTGT